GAGGGAGCAAAAGTTCTTGAATGATCTTTTGTCCACCTGAGAGTTTTGGGTCTTCCCACCCACTTTTGTGTGTCCCAGCTTCTCCTGCTGCTCCTACTTTTAAATTAGTATGTATGGAACAATTATACAATAGCCAGTTTACAGTGATATGAAATAGGGTACTTAGGTCCCAGACATAGAACATGTAGAAATTGAGACATGAGAAGAGAGAGGGGAATGAGGGAAATTACTGTCTTCATATTACTCCATGGTATAAAGAGAATTTACAACAGTGATCTGTTTGCGTTGATACACTGCATGTGATCAATTCATTGAGGTGAAAGAATTGATAGATGCATTATGAGACAGAATTAACCAAGACCACCATGAAGAAAGACAGTGTCCCCTCCCGGAGTTCAGCCACCGGTTGCAGAGAAGTGCTTACCGAGGGAGTGTGTTGGGTGCTCAACGAGAAAGTGTGTCGATGCTCTAAACTGTTTAGTCACAAGATGCCCAAGCAGCCACACACCAGTGAGGTCACACCAGTCAGAATCAGCCAAGAATCACATTCATTCTAAATACACGTGATAATTTATTTCCAGTAGCCTTTAAGTAGTAGGCATAACCACCAAATGTGGGATGGAGTTTCCCATTGTTGTAGGCATTTTCAACATCTTGGGGAAGTTTGTGGATACAATTTGTTTAAGCTACTTTAATATTGCTCCCAGGAGCAAAGATGTGTTGGGTAAGTTAAGAACTTTGGAATTTTGTTTAGTAGTAAGCTTTTGGAATAGTTCTCACTCCCAATCAGCCAGGTAGCTCTGTGAGCTTCAAGTAGCCCCAGTGTTCACATATTGTTTTTTGTGGGCCTGTAAGTGTTTTGTTTGCTGTGTTGCTCACTCTTAAGGGCAACTGCTTTTGTATGTTCCAGTTCTCTCAGAATTCTCCTCACCCTGTGTCCCATTATGAACAAGTAAGAAAACTTGATTTTTGACTCCCCATAAAGTAATTTTTTGGAGTGTATCAAGGTATAGCGGTCCCACCCCTCTGTCTTTGCTTTTCCACAAAACTGAAGAATGATGGGGGTGGGATAGGTTATATCTGGCTGACTAATAGCTTTGTTTGCCAGTATCCAATCTCCTGAAGACAACAGTATAACCCAGTTGTCTCAGAATTCTTCTGACTCTCTGCCCCCAAATGGACTGCAAGGAAAGGGTTTTACTTTAAGTCAAAAAATCTGGTTTCATGGAAAAAACACACACCACTTGGCCACCACAAAGCATTTGGTGATCTGCGGACTGCAGCGGGTCTCTGGGGAAAATGTGCCCAATGGCCTAATGCACACAGGTCTTTTAACTGTGGCTAAGGATTCCTTCGGCAAGAACCTGCGCATTCTTGCGGTAGGAATCCCAGGTAGGGTCATACAAATGAGCCCGCTGTTCCAGTTCAAGTGAATGTCAGACTGACAGCATCCGCATCTGTCTGCATGTAACCGGATATCGTAGATGCTTGTCCATGGATGCAGACAGATTGGCCTGTGTGCATGAGGCCTGTCTTTATACAGGAGGCCATTACAGCTTAGCCTTATTGGTCCTTCACAATACATGTTGTGCAGCACAAGAGTTAACAAAGTTTTCTCTAATTTAACATTTAAAAAAAAAATATGAAATTAATGAGTAAATCCCATCCACCCTCCTGATCAGTGTAAAGCAGTATATCTTTCTGACCTTCCATCCAGTGATTCTTGGCCGTTGGACAGATAAGCTTACTTTATAATAATTTCCAAACATCCCTGCCATAACCACAGCTTGACAGTATTAAGCATAAAACTCATCTAATCCCCTGAATGTATGTGCCATAGTCGGAGCTGCCAAGGACAGCACAGCTAAGTTGTAGGGCTAAGTCTTGCTTTTCCAAGGAACATGGCTGGAATTCCAGACCCCACATGTCCTCTGGAACTTTCACTTTTTACAGATTTTATGACTTCCATTTGCTGGGAAAAAAAACACAGGGATCATCATTTCCCGATGCTTCTCAGGAAATAACTGTTTTACTTTGTGTTGCCCATGACAACTAATTAGATTCTTCTTCCTTTCCCTCTTCCAGTGTAGAATGGAAGGAAAGATCTGGTTGCTATGAGCAAAACCAAATGGAAAGCCTTTTCAGTAAGAAAGGAAGAACTTGGCAAAGTATATACGCAAGTAGATTTTACTTTAAATCAGGGCTGGACAAATCCTAGGAGCCAAGCAGCCAATGCTCCTTACAAATGACAACTGGAACCTAACTTTTGAAGTTATCACTAGTTGTTGTTAATGGAGCTGCCTCTTAAAAATAATCCTATTGGCTACTGGATTGGACAGATTGGCCCCTGAATTCCATATAAATGCCCTGCTTCAGATGACAAAATTAATAAGCTCCTTTAAAATAAGACTCGCTGTACGTAGTCCTGGTGCACATTCACAGAACTTTCACTCTGTTGCTAAGCGAAGCTGCCTAAAGAAGCTTTGCATCTGACAGGTGGTATGTCGGATGCCTGAATGCCTGTTGCATTCTGTCGTTCCAGCCTCTGTCACTACAGGACACCGTAGATTTCCTTCCACTTCCTGTTCGATAGTCACAACAGGAAGTGAAGTCCTTCCAAAGAGAGGGAACCCCATGGTGATCCGCAGGGTCACCAGAACTAGTGTCCCCATTGGAAGATTTACCGTCTATTACTGTTCTGGTGACGACAACCCAACATTTGGGAACTTCTTTGACTTTCAGGAACAACGGTCACCAGGATAAATAGGGAGGGTTAATCTCCCTAATGGGGACACAGACAAAAAAGAGAATCTGACGAGTGTTCAGCTTTTGTTGCACTTGAAAATGTCATACAATCTTTAACATGTTAATGCACTTTTCAATCTTTTGTTCTCATCTGGTTATCCTGCAATGAATGTTCTATTTTTAAATACTAACTACGATCGGGTGACAACGCTCTATTGCTGTTTCCCAATCGAGTTTATTGTCACCCTGTCACATGGGTTATTCTGATGGAGACTACAAGTGACTGTTTGAACACACATTACATTGTCATTCAGGAGGAGGCAGTATTGCCTCGTTCAGATGGGTGGCAGCCTTTACTGCTCCTCTAAAAAAAATGAGCTGCGGTGGATCGCTTTTCTGAGGGGTGGTAAAAGCTGCCGCTTGTCCGAACGAGGCCTTAGGGGCAGATTTTTTTGCACTCTGCTACTTGTAACACCCCCTTTAACATTTGCAAACCACAAAACTTTTCTTTCAAGATGTAACATTGCCACCATGCCATATTTTTCATAGCAACCAACATGCTGATTTTTCATGGCATGCTATCCAAGGCATTGAGAATTCTTCTGAAAATGTAAGTCTGATTCACTTTGTACCCGCGTGCACTGACCTGTTTATTATTTTGGAGTTATTTTTCCTTCTTTTTTCCTCCCAATGTTATATTTTGTATACCAAGGATTGTATGCATCATAGCCATCCTAAAAGGTGGTTGCCACTTGACCAGTACTCTATGGGCCTGGTTGGTAAAAATGGGATATGTTGCCAGCTGTATTAATAGGAAGGAGATCATAAGGCCGGTATTTTATCTCAGAAAAGGATCAACCTTGCTTATACCCCAGTGCGTCTGGCAGACTTAAGGCCTTCTGTAAGACTGATGTCTGTGTTTCACATAGCTCTGGTGACTTTGCTCTGAATTTTGCAATATGGTTCGAGTTATGTAAGCGGCACTCCACTGGCGGCCCTCCAGGACCTTTTTTGGCAGTTTTCCTTACCATAGTAAACAAGTTTTCTTTTTTTAAAGTAATTTTTATTTATTTTACCCCAGAGAGTAAAAAATAAAAGATGTGCACATTTTTAGTGCACATATTCTTTTCTACCTCTCTTAGGCCCCGTTCACACCAGGGCGGATCTGCCGACATGAACGATCCGTTACATTGCTATGGGGACCATTCATGCGACTGTGCGGCTCCGCGCGATCCGAACCCCCTCCCGCCCGAATTGCTCACTGAACCTTTTTTGCCACACTGATCAGTGCGGTTTCCATACTGCTTTCAATGGAACCGCGCTGTTCAGCGAGGTTTTGGGCATTTTTAATTGCGTTTCAGCGCTGAGCATCAGATCTGCGCTGGGCTCCTGCAGACCTGATAGGTCAACTTAATGGCCAACTGAAGGAGTTTGCGTGGCAAGCTGACAACTATGGTGCTCATTGCAAGGCAGTAGCCTAGGAGTTCATTTGTAAATGTTCCTCTTGACGTACAGCCAGGAGGATGCCATTCGCATGCCACTAGCACCCCTAGGGCACTTTTATAAATGAACCCCTTAGTGTTGCCAGCCGGATGTGCTGTTACTGGAAGAATCTCTAGGCAAGACTCATGACAAGAGATAACTTCTTAGCCAATTAGGTTTTAAAAAAAGGTATGTATTCGCCAAGGTCAGCCGCTCTCTAATATTGTTCAGGAACAAAAAAAGTCTAAATCATTTTCCTTCAGGAGGATGGAAATATTAAACTATTGTGACTACCTGCTAATGCATTATTTCCCATAATGCCGTGCTGTAGCATTTATGTTGTTCATAATACTGTGTTACACACTACAGAGATTTTGCAGCTTCAAAGGCATAAGAGACATTTCTGGCAGAGGCAAATCATCCACAGGGCATCCAAGGCAGGAGCCCAGGGCCCATAGATGTCCTGGGAGCCCAGCTACAACTTTCAAGCTCCTGCAGTAAACCAGTGGGATAGCTTGTTTATTCAAAACTGTTCACCTGCCTCTCACTTCATAGAGGATGTAATTGAAGGCAGTTGTTGTCTGATGGGGCAGGAATGCCAGCACCGACAATGCAGATGGGGCAGCTTCTCTGTGTCGACTTAAGTCCTTATCAATGTGATGCAAAGGGATGGGGGGGCCAAAGCTGCTACCTTGCCTATGGCCCCATTCTGCCATAATCTGTCTCTGTTTTCTGGTGTCTGATGTAAACCTGTAACCTTTTTGTTTTAACAGGAACAGCACGCTAATGCCACCCAGAGTCCTGGCTCCAGCACTGCTTCCTGTACAAGTCCCAATGGTTACAACAACCAGCAGCCCTTGTTAAATCAGCAAATGGTGGACAAGACGAATATTCTACAAAGGCAGATGATGCAGCAGCAGATGATAGCTAGAACGGTAATGTCCTTTTCCTAGTTTCTTTCCAAAATTCAGAGGTGTGTTTTCCCCAGTCAGTAATCATTTCTGAGCCAGCCTCTCACCTATTGTCCTGTCACCTAAGATTCTTCAAATAAAGGGCGCAATCTGTGTTGAGAGGGAGCCATTTATTGCCTGGCTGTGCCCAATAATTAGCCTTTGAGCATACAGCCTTCCATGATGGCTGCCTTCTGCTGTTGGAGACCAGAGATCTCATAAAGCTGATTGGTAGGTAAGAATTAGCCTCTTGTGACTACATCAGAGAGTATGAAATAAGTTAGGGTTAGGCTGTCATTTAAAGTACAAGTTCACGTAAAATAAAACAATTGAACCCTCTCTCTCTCTAGTAGAGATAAGCCTGGACTTGGCTCAAAATTTTGACTGCCACCCCTCCTCCCAACCCAATCAGTGGCAGCCGTTGCGGTGGGGGCATTCCTCACCCCTTTGCGACGTGTAGGAATGCCCTCTCCGCAACTGATTGGGCAAGGAGGAGTGGGTCACAGTTACAATTTTGAGCGAGTTTGGGCAAACTCAGGTGAACTGGGTTTGCAGCAAGCCCAGCCTCATCACTACTCTCTAGCCTCCTAGCATTACTTAGAACCCCACCACCACCACCCAGGTTCAGACTTGCCTCGCCACTACAATGGAGGCCTCCTTTAGTGTTTACTTCCTCAGGCCTGAAATCTCCTGTGGTACTGTCCATGGCTGTGCAAAAACTCCTTATAAACTTAAATAGGATCTTATCTATAGAATCTCTAATATTTCCTATTACTTTCTGTGTTGGTGATAATGGTCACCAGGAAAAATAAAAAGGGTGAGCACAATAAAAATAAAAACCCTAAGGGGGTTTTAACCATTCCTACCCTGTCTAAACAGGACCAAATAAACCAACAACTGCTTTATGCATAGCTCCTCAACATGTGTACACACATGACACATGCATTGTTTCACATGATGATGAAGAAATCAGAGACACATTTGTTGAAGTCGAATTATGGTCTCCCATCTTTTAAAAAATGTGCTGAAGCACAGGATTCATAAATGTTTCTCTTAGTATCCCTGCAAAGTCCACATCCTGTGATGGGGTGACAAAGCTGCTGCTTGGAAATCAGCAGCAGAGCAGCAATGTTGTCACGCCATCACAGGAAGCTGCATGTGGTGGACTTTGCAGCAAAGAACTGTAAGCCTAACTGCCATGTACTGTATGTGTCACCCTCATGAAGGCTGTTATCTGCACGGAAGTAGGATGAGAAGGTGTTGCAGGGGGTGTGGTCTACAGCATTGTCACTGCTGATTGACAGGCCAGTAGCATGTCAATCAGCAGTTGGCGACACCTAGTACTGCCCACTGCTTTTTGGATTGACAGATGGTGAGTTGCGGTGTCAAGGAGGGGCAGCGTGTGACACACAAATGAAGGAGGGTTTGGCTCACTCAGGGAAGATAAACAAAAGTTGTTGTTTTTTAACTCTATAAAGCATGTGCATCACATAGTAACCGGATGTGGAAACTGTTTAGATTGTCACACAGGAGCCTTTAGATTTGCTTTGATTGTACTGAAAAATAGAATTGCCCAAATAACAAGACACATGAACACATAAGAAATAACGTCTTAATAAATGATTAAATAGCCAAAAATAACGGGTTATTATGTATTTTGTCATAGGAAAAGTGTAATGGTCAGGATCAGCTGAACAGACATTTGACAAGACCACCACCAGACTACAAGGATCAGAGGAGGAACACTGTGGGAATGCAACAGCCAAGCCAGTTCCCTGGTAGGTATAGTGTACTTTGGGTTATCCTAAAGATGATGCTCCCATGGCTGGTTCCTGTTGCTGCCAGAATCAGGGCAAATGTCACAAAACTCTTTCTTTTTAATCAAGGATACCTTGATACTAATATTCTTATAGGATACCTTCTCCACTAAGTGAGAGAGCAACTGCACTTTTTAGGGCTAGTGTACTTGTAGATTAAGATCCATTTGTAATGGACTTGCCATGTGATTAAAATGTCTGCTTTGTATTCATGTTTATTATATAGAAGAATAAAAGTGGTGCCCTACCTAATCTTAAATTGGCCTTAGCTGAGCTGAAAAGCATGTGTAAACAAGCCCAAACACAGCTTAGCTCATTTGCTATAGCCAAACACCTCAAGCAAGTTTGAAAACCATTCCCCTCTTTTCCCGAGAGTTTTATTGGACGTCTTCACAACTCTCAAATGTTCTGTCTGTAACAAATCAAAGTGTCTGTGAGATCTCAGTAGGAGTTCCGGCTCCCAGTCTGCACACTCTTGCAGGGATGACGAATCTCACACAGAGGGATTCTGTGTTGGTCTTCCTTTACATTACAAGGGAAAGGTAGAATGTCTGCAATACAGCTCCCAGCCATTGTTCTTTCTAGACAGTCATTAGACCATCCTTTCTCAACCTTTCTACCCTAGAGAAACCCTTAAAATAATTTTGAGGTGTCGGGGGAACCCAGGCTAAAAACTTCTACAACTATATGTCAGGGTACATTAGAATGATCATTAAAGTTAAAAGGTTTTCAAGTTTTTTCAAATGCTGGTTAATTCACTTTCAATAGATCAATAGATGCTGCCACTAGATGTTTGAAAGTTTTAGTTTCCTGCAGAATCGGCTTGTTCTCTGAGCGATGGCCCAGATGTTGGATCGGCTGAGTCAAAGTCCCTCTGCACTTCGGCTCTGCATGTTCGGCTGACTGAAGGCAGCCGATGTACGGCTGAAGTCAGCTGTACTGAGCAGGGGTGAATAGCCGAACGTCGTTCTGCTCTGTTCACTTCGGCTCGGTTATTCACTGGGCTGCCTTCGGCAGCTTAGGGAATAACCCTGTAAGTTTTACAATGTTGTAAATAAAAGAAAATAGCACAACTAGCGAATTGGACTCCTATAGCAGAATATTTATATAACCAGTGACCTTTTTTTTTTTTATCTCTTGGGACTTTAGCAGTTAGATCTCCAACTGGGCCCCTAACGCTGCTTCTCTGCCTAGTTCTTTGTTATAGAAAATAATGTCCAATTGGAAAAGTCGGGTTTAGTTTGGTTATGGCAGGGGGGCCGTGTGGAGATGCGTTTAGAGCCCCCTAGAGTCTAAAAAAGCTGGTAGATGATACTCTCTGACATTGATAGTTTGAAACAGAATATACCTTTATATCTATGACATTGAAATATTTTAGTGGACAATTAAAGCATTAATATATGAAAGCACCACAATAAATATATGCACAGGCAAATGTTCAGGAGGCCAAGCGGGGTTGTGTGGGAGTAGAGCTCCTCCTGTGACACCACCACTGACATCGCTCCTCGCCCCGCTCGGCCTCCTGAAGGTTTTTTTCCTCCCCGCTGGACGCTGCTTTGTGTCAGAGCGGGCATGGAGCAGCACACAGCAAGGAGGTAGAGAAACCAGGGATGCACCGCATTTTCGGCCATCAAATGGTACTTTCAGCATTTTGCCCAAAGTACCATTTTCGCCCGACATGTTTCAGTGCATCCCCTAAGTTATCCTTGACAACTGTACTTCACAACATCTTCTTACCTGCCCAGGCTATGTTACCAATAAATCTCTTGGTGGGCCATGTTTCATTGTAGGCTCAAGTCAAATGCCAAAGATTGAATAGATACATTTCTAGTAAAGTGAGAGAAATGTCTGTTAGGATTGTATTCATCTCTGTGTCTCCATGAAAAAGATGATTTCTTTTTACTGTCCAGGTGACGGGTCAAACCAGAAAGGAAAGAAATGTCCTTTGTAGTGACACAGACCATATTTCAAACCCAACTGGAATTCCAGCCCTTCCCCACTCTGTTCAAAACTTTAAAAAAATATTTGGCTGTAGTTGGGCTTTAAAGCAAAATAGGAAGTAGAAACGGAGTCTATAGAAAGATATCCATGCGAAGAAATATTGCACGTGACACTTTAGGTCTCCCTAATGTTGCATAATGGCTTAGTCAGCTGTATGTAATATATTGAGTTTATTATACTCTGAAGAAACGTATTATATAACCGTCTTTTCAGAACCTATCTATACCAGCAGAAAACAGGATCTTGGTGATCATTTTCATATGTTATGGCGCTGTCCCAAGGTGTATAGATATCACAGGTCCTTCACACTATGGGGCAGGTGTTTCTGTTTAAAGATCCCTCATGACCCAAAGATCTTCAAATACCGGGAGAGTTACAGCTTTTGAGAAGGGCAACTGGTACCTATAACTCGAGCCCTGTTTGTGGCTTACTGATGAGGGATGCACCGATACTACGATCGGTGCCGTTACCGAGGATTTGGGCAAGTACTAAAACTCACCCAAATGCTCCGATACCATTTCTGATACCGAAACTTCCTTTCAGAGGAAATCCCAATCCCGTGAGGGAATATGGAGAATAATGGGAACATAGAGGTTAATGATTGGCCCGAGAAGTTAGCTCCATGCTGTTTGGCCGGCTTGATGCCGATTGGCTAGGAAGCCGGCTTCCTAGCCAATAAGCATGGAGCTGTCTTCCCGGCCAATCAGGAAGCTGGGAGGGGGGTAATGACCTGCCTCCTTACTTCATGATTGGCTGAGAAGCTGGCTCCATGCTGATTGGCTGGAAAGCCAGCTTCCTGGCCAATCAAGATCGAGCTGTCCAAACAGTACAAAGCTGGCTTCTCAGACAATCAAGAAGCCGGGCGGTGGGTGATGACACACTGCCTGGCTTCCTGATTGCCCGGGAAGCCAGATCCATGCTAGCCATAGTACCGGTATCAGTACTCGGTATCGGTGAGTACCGAAAAATAAGTATCGTTACTCATTCTCGGAGCATCCCTACAATTGATTATGCAATATTGGATTGTGAGCCCTCAGGAGCAGGGCCCTCCTTACCATCTTGTCTTGATTTGTATTGTGATTGTAATGTCTTCCTTATATTGTAAAGCGCTGCGCAAACTGTTGGCGCAATATAAATCCTGTATAATAAGAATATTATTGGAAAGTTTAAAATGCATCCTTCATATAAAGAGTGTGTAGCACAGGGAACAATAAGATCTGTCAGCTTATACATGTTTGCAGTTGACTTTGAGAAACCCACACCATACTGTATGTTATAGGTTCCCATTCACACAGCAAGCAAGGAATATTTTTTTTCAATATTTCGTAGATGTTTCTTTCAAACAGGCGTGCAGACTGAGTTTGCTCTCATTAACATTCAATGAAGAAGCCATGCTTCTCTATCTTTAACCTTCTGAGCAAGTAAAATGTTAGTAGCAATTTTTTATTTTTTGACATTAAGCTATGTGAACGAGAACACATAACAAATTTAAAGTAGGTGTTATCCCAATTTTGGCTGCGAGAGTGGGAATAAACTTTAAATGGTATCTAAACCCAAGAACAAAAATTGAATATGTGGCAGCTCACTAGTCTTTAGATTTGGTGGCTGCATTGGTTTTCTTTTTTTTTCAGGCTAGTTTTCCTTAAAGGAGAACTATGGGGTCAGTGTTTTTCCCCATAGTTCTCCTTAGGGTAACGGGAGGACACAAACTAGCGTCCTCCCGTTACCCTAAGCTCAGTATACCGCGAGCTACATTTCACTTGGTAATCCTGCCAGTTACACACCTTATCCTGGGGTGACAATGCTCACTCGCTGTGCTGTATTTTTGTTTAATAATACATTCTCATTATTATAGCATTAAACATATGACACTACAGTTGAACCCTGGAGGCCGAAGATGGCAGTTTTCATCTGCAGCCTGAAGGCTTTCATTTTTTTTCAATGAAGCCTCCTGCCTGTATGTGATCACTATGTTATTGCTGCCATAGGGAACACATGGTCAGGAACCACGCTGATCATCAGTGGGGACCTGAGCTGTCAGTGACAGCCAGGATTGAAAGCCATCATTTGCACTATTTGTTGGCTGGTAGCTTAAGGGAGAAAATGTATAAATGTATCCTCATGGGATACAGAATGGCAACGTGCTGGGGCACATTTATATGTAGATGGTGGGCAGAAATGGTTAAAAAAGAGGACTATTTTGTGAACATTTGAAAATATTATTCCTTGTGGCATCAGGTTGTTTCATATATGAACATTCTTTTTGGCAGGTGGAATACAAACTGTAGGTGCCGCCTCTGATCCACCAGTGACCAATGCAACGTCAGGACATATAACACCTCAGAATCCAACCCATTCTTCAACAAGCCATGCTTCTAGAATTACTTCTGTACATGGAAGTCCAAGCTTGTATGGGAATGTTCCATGCCCACAGCAGAACATGTACAACAATATAAATCAAGGGCAACAGCAAACCAGTCCAAATCATATGGGAACAAGCCCAAATGGCAATGTCTTGCCACGGCAGTCAACAACTACACCAGGAAACAATCCAGCTTCTTTTGGTAATCCTGCAGGAGTCAACCCTCCACAATTCAGACCTGGTCTAAATCATGGAAATAATTCAGTGGGACAAAGGCCTCCAAACATCATCAATAACACAACAGCCACACAGAAGTGGATGGGTCCAGAAATAAAAAGGCAGGACATGGTGAGCTTCACCAATAATCAGTTTTCCAACCATTCAGTTCAGGGCGTGATGGGTCATCACCATTTTCATCAGCGTGGTCTCTCATTGCCCAGCCAGGTCAACCAAGGTCTACAAATAAATCAGATGACATCAGCGAGCAGTGGACAATCTATGGAACCTCTAAGAGGTTTTAACCACGGACAAAGCCCTCAGAGATCTCAAATTCTGACCAACCTAAGCCAAGCTGGTGGAACTGCCACAGCAACAACAAGCACATTTAATCCCACCGATCAGATTCCTAGAGCTTTTCCAAGGAGCGACTCAAATAACGACTTGGCTGCCTTTGATTTTATTTCACAGAATAGTGGACTAGGCTCATCTCCCAACAATGACTCAGACTTTATTGATGTCTTATTGAAAACGGGTCACATCAATGATGACTGGATGAAAGACATCAACCTAGATGAGATTTTCAAGGGTCATACATAAAACTTCTAAGACATATTCTTTCAGCATATTGAACCTTATTAGTAAAAATGGAAAGAAAGGAGGTGAGGCCCATCGCTGCCGAATGGCATACAACTATTTTTTTCACTTGGATATTAGAAAATTCAGGCAGGTGTCTACTATGGGTAGTATGATTGATTTCCTTACCTCTAAGTTTTATACATCGGGCCAACTGTGTTGCTTTATCCCAATAGCGCTATTAAGCAAACATTGCAGGTGTCTATGTATTAAATTACCCCATTATTGTTATTTATTATGGTAATATAAAATGATAAAGGGCAATTCCACGCGCTGCTGATTATTTCAGTTTTGTGTTTTTGCTCACAGGTTACATTATGTGCCTATGTATATATATTTTCATATAAGTATATGTGTGTGTGTGTATATAATTTTAAGGAGACATTTCCTAATCTGAACTTCATTTTGCTCCAAGCAATGCCCAGTGATAGTGTACATTTTCTATAATATAGCTTTAATGACTGATTGGGGAATCCAGGTGGGAGAGAGGGTCTCCTTCGTTATTGCCTCATAGGAGGAGGTGGAGATACATCTTCCCTCAAGAGCCTCCTGATTGGTTTTAGGTTTAGCCAAAACGTTTAATTTGTTTGGATAGAGGATAAAAGGGTTAGAACCCCTACCATGTTTATTGCTGCTCGTGTCTGTGTCTGCACTCTATTTCTTGTGGTGACCACTGTCAATTATATAAACAGTGATGATTAAGATAAGGGATGCACTGATACCGATACTAGTATTGGTATCGGTGCCAATGCCGAATATTTAGGTGAGTACTCGTTCTCGCCCCAAATGCTCAGATGCCTAGCCCCGATACTTGAGCTTTCGGTATCAGGAAGCCGGGCAGCGAGTCATTACACGCTGTCCGGCTTCCTGATTGCCCAGGAACCCGGCTCCATGCTCCTTCGTCACTTGTGACGAAGGAGCATGGAACCGGCTTTCCACAGCCCCGACTTTCTGATTGGCAAAAAAGCCGGCTTCATGCTCCCTCGCTACCTGATGATGAGGAAACATGGAGGCTGCTTCCTGACCAATCAGGAAGCCGGGCGCCGTGTAATGACACGTTGCCCGGCTTCCTGATTGGCCAGCTTCTCGACCAATCAGGAAGCCGGACAACACATTATTACACGGCGACTGGCTTCCTGATTGGCACGAAAGCTGGCTCCATGCTCCAGGTGATGAGGGAGCATGGAGACGGCTTCCCGGGTAATCAGGTAGCGGGTCATTACACACCGCCTGGCTTCCTTAATGGGACTTCCGGTATCGGTATTCAGTATCAGTGAGTACCGGAAAAAAATATATCGATACTCGTACTCAATACCGAAAAAACGAGTTCAGTGCATCCCTAATTAAGATGTTTGTATCTGTATTAGTGCACACAGTTGAGTACTGTCTGTGATACTTGCACCAACAGTTACATTTTTAGGACAAGCTTTCAGGGGTCTACCCCCTTTTTCTAAGGTCCAAGCAGTACTGATACACAACATACACATTTTGATAACGTTTTCTGTATCAGTATTGCTTGGTCATTAGAAGCTTGTCCTGATAATCCTGAAAGTGATGGGAAATCTAAAAACAGGACACAGACAGCAATCAAAACCCGACAGGGCTTCTAACCAAATGTAAAAAAAAAACAGTTTTGCCTTCAATTATACTTTAAGTTGACCTTTAAAAGCAACTCCAGTTAAATAGCTAAATATCTGAACTAATGATGTAAAGGAAAGATTACCGCCTAGTTAATCCAAAATGTTTACCTTGCCTGAGAGTAATCATAGCAGAGCCTTAAAATGAGGTTATGATGAACAAATTGAATAAGCAGAGGATACCTTTAGCATGTCAGAATTATCAGTAGATCCAGAGATTTTGAAAGCTGAATTACAGTGACACTAAACTCAGGAGTGAAATCTTTCAAATATATTCTTGTATTTTAACTATTAACAAAAATGCATCTTATTTGTGTATCACTCGGCTGTAGATCCTCAAATCATCTCTGAATTGGTGCTGACACTGTCCTTCCTTCTGGAGGGGGGCTACTTTTGTTCCCCATGGTCCCTGTGTGTGTTGTAAAGTAGCCAACGCTCCAAGCTCACTCCTGTGATGGACTACAATCTCATCTTTAGTTTAATCATTTATATTGAGATTGTAGTCCATCCCCGGAGTGAGCTTGGAGCGGTGACTACTACACACACAGGGACCATGGGGAACAAAAGTAGCCCCCCTTCAGAAGGAAGGACAGTGTCAGCACCAATTCAGAGATGATTTGAGGATCTACAGCCGAGTGATACACAAATAAGATACATTTTTTGTAGGGCTAGTTCACACCAACCCCAGTGCGTTCCGGCCCAATTGGTGCCGGAACGCATTTGATTGCATTCTTTCCGTCTCACTTTGTTTTAGGGTGGGAGGGGGCGTGGTGGCGCATTGAAGTCAATGGCACCGCAGCCACCCCCTCCGGCCGCAGTGCGATCACCCGCACATCAATGCCTGCGTTCTGGTTCAGTCAGAAAAAATAGTGCATGCAGCATTTCTTCTGACCGGACCGGAATGCATGCATTGATGTGCCACGCGTTCCGGTGTGGGCAATCGCACTGCGGCTGGAGCGCGTGGCTGCGGCAGCAATCGGACCGGAATGCACTGGGGCTGGTGTGAACTAGCCCTAATAGTTAAGGTACCTGAATGCATATTTAAGATTGAACTCCTGCGTTTAGTGTCGCTTTAATTTGCAGTTATTTTCCCCTCTATTGATCACTGAAGTAGCCCATGGTATTAAAGGATCAATAAGAAGCCAGGAGGGGCTAAGCTTGACTTTTCACCAAAGTCTAGATTTGCATTTGATTCACCTATTAGATGTTTTGACATCTGGTTTTCAATGAGGGTAACCTCTGATTATGTCACTTCTCTTTGTATTATTATTGGTATTGCCTAGGTTTGTGATAGGTTGATTTTTATTCTTGTTGTACATAATGTTCTTATCATGAGCAGGAAAACGCTGCAGATTCATTGACCGATAAAATATTTCAGTGGGGAAAGGACCTGTTTAATCTTCGGGAACTGGGATCTTCCTATTGGTAGTGGGAATGAATACACAGTGAATCAACGTCTCCTGACTTCCTGTGCCAAGTCCACTTCTGCAATGTTAGCCAAATCCATTTTCTCTCCTCTGTGTCAGTATATCAGCCATCAAATTCAGCTGAATTTACCAGCAGGCCGATGTGTCCTTAATCCAAAGTGCCATACCCAGCAAACAAAACCCCAAGCCACAGCCCCAAACCAAGAATCTGCCAAACTCAGTATTATCATGACCCAATAGTATTGACAGACACTGACATCTAGTGGTAGCAATAAAGAAGTGCATGTTGGGCTTATTCAGGAAAGATTTACTAAAAAGGAGAGGTGTAGACTGCCATGGCTGACCTATTTCTGCAAGTGCTGGCTGCCTGGCTTTCTTTGGCTTCATGGAACAAGTGTGCAGCAACTAAAGTGAGAACTCATATGTATACTAGTTCCTGGTAGCAACTCAGAAATAAATGAAGCCGTAGAATCAGCTTGACAGACAGCCGTCATTATTAGAAAAACGTCAGCAGTAACAGCCTGCATATTCTTCTCAGCATAGGTTTCTTTATGACAAGTGCAAAGAGCAAAAATGATGTACAAATTGATGTAAACCATAGCAACCAGTTCAATGTCATCACTCAAATCAGGGGTGGGCAACTCTGTCCCTCCAGCTGTTGTGGAACTACAAGTCCCATGAGGCATTGCAAGACTGAAAATTACAGGCATGACTCCCAGAGGTAGAGGCATGATGGGATTTAAAGTACAGCTGGAGGGCTGAAGTTAGCTACCCCTGACTTAAAGTGACCCGGTCGGTGGGGATGGGGGGGGAGAGGTTGTTTCAGCCATAAAGTCTACTGTAATGGAAGAGATTTTACCTGTTCTGGTGCCTGTGCATGGAATCTTCCTGCAGAGCTACCCTAATAATGCTGGCCATACACAATGCAAGGCGGAATGCGTTGCTGTGCGTGGTTCCTCCTGCCAACCCATATATAATTACAGGACACAGTAGTGTTGTTGGGGTCAGCAGGAGGAGAGTGCAGTGGGAGACGCAGGAATCGCACACACTGTAAAGATCCTTTAGGGTGGTGTTCTCTGAAGGAGGGAAGATTCAATGAACGAGCACTGGACCCGATAAACAAAGTCTCTTCATTTCTAGTAACCTTTTGGCTGTAAATGTTTCTTTCTCCAACTGGGTGACTTTAAAGCGACACTAAACTGAGGAGTTAAAACATTCAAGCTTCCTAACTATTAACAGAAATGTATCTTATTTGTGTATCACTCGGCTGTAGATCATCTCTGAATTGGTGCTGACAGTGTCCTTCCTTCTGGAGGGGGGCTACCTTTGTTCCCCATGGTCCCTGTTTGTGTTGTAAAGTAGTCACCGCTCCAAGCTCACTCCTGTGATGGATTACAATCTCCATACAAATTAGTAACCTAAGCATGAGATTGTAGTCCATCACAGGAGTGAGCTTGGCGTGTTGGCTACTTTACAACACACACAGGGACCATGGGGAACTAAAGTAGCCCCCCTCCAGAAGGAAGGACAGTGTCAGCACCAATTCAGAGATGATTTGAGGATCTGCAGCCGAGTGATACACAAATAGGATACAGAGGGGAATTTATCAAAACTGGAGCAGAGAAAATCTGGAGCAGCTGTGCACGGCAACCAATTGGCTTCTCTTTCATTTTCAAATCTTAACAGAACAAACTAAAGAGAGAAGCTGATTGGTTGCCATGGGCAACTGCTCCAGTTTTAATAAATCCCCCCATTGAAGTTAATAGTTACGGTACTTAAATGCATTTTTAAAATGTAGTTCCTGAGTTTAGTGTCACTTTAATTTCCAATCTGACTAGAGTTGATTTGATTTATTGAACTTTGTACTTCTTTCGTTTTCTCATTGCCTTACTGAATGTTT